AAGTGAATTTCGATTTAAATCCTTTAGTGAACGCGACATAGGCAGCGTGGAGCAGACTCTCGCTGATCTCTGTGAGAAACTCCATTTCTCTGTTCCACTTATCAACTTTCTCTTGACAATATTGATCCTTAAACTCTTTTGATCCGATGACCGCACCGAGATGGCGTTATCCCTCGAGCGTTCATTTCATTGCCAAACACCTTTGCATTCTGTTCCAGATCACTGGTTTTAACAATTAACCAGCTGTAAGCACCATAAACGATATATCCAAATTATTGTTGTTGTTGTTGTTGTTATTATTATAATGACAGTACAAATGTCTGGATGCCCAGAGCAAAGATTAAAGCTTAGGCTGGGCGGCAAACCGTAACCAGCCACAGCATCGACTTAAACTCATGACTACAATTACTCAATAATTTACGCAAAAAAAAAAACAAAGAAAAACCGGCAAACCAACACACACAAAAAAAGAAAAAACCTGATTAAAAATGATTTGATAATTGTCATAAAAATATATAGATAGATAAATTAAAACTTAAGAGTTTCGTCTTAATTACTAATCCTAAGAGTTCGTCTTAATTTCGAAATAAAACTGTTCATAAGTTGAAAATATCGTTCATATAACTGTCCATTTTCCCATGGGAACCCTAAGATATGTAATAAAATTTCGAAAAAGTACAACAAAGTTTCTATAAAAATGGGTGTCCAAAGTTCCCAAAGATGTCTAAACGCTCAGCTTGAACATTCTAGCAATGTGTAATGAACTAGCCAGGATTTCCATTTGCATTTGCTGCATAATTGATTCACACTTGTCTCCTGCAAACTTTTTAATATTTCTCTCAAACTCTTTCGAGCAGCCCCCAAGTACATCCATGATGATGTTATACTGATTGACCTTGTTTTCAGGGTGTCGGTTCGTCTGCTCTAGTCTCAGTTGACTGTACTTCGTTGTCTTTCTCTTATTATTATTATTATTATTATTATTATTATTATTATTATTGTTAGAATCTGAAGTGAGGGTAAAGAACATGTCAACACCGAACTCGCTCAAAGTGAAAGAACAAGCATCAGAAAGAGGTGCCTCCAGTTGGCTCACTATCATCCTGTGAAAAGACCTACGATACGATCTCAGTAAAGGAGAATTTAGAGATGCCCTTTAGCCGAGATATAATTGGGAATTCTCTGACATCCCAAACCGGTGCGTCTGTGGTGACATCTTTGACGTGGACCATGCGATGACCTGCAGAAATGGCGGATTTGTGATACAACGCTACATTGAGATCAGAGACCTGGAGGCGGCACTGCTTAGCGCCGTATGTAAAGATGTGGAAATCGAGCCTCCCCTGCAGCAGATTAGGGGAGAAATTTTGAATAATGGGGCCAATACTTCTAAGATGCTCATCTTTATATTCTAGCCAGAGGTTTCTGGGAGCGACAGAAGTCTGCATACTTTGATGTCCGGGTATTCCACCCTTATGCTGACTCCTATCGTGAGAAGACATCTAAGCAAGTCTTTAAGCAGCACGAAAATGAGAAAAAACGAAAGTATGCCAGTAGAGTATTGGAAATAGCGCAAGGATCCTTTACGCCCCTGATCTTTAGTACCACCTGAGGGATGGGCACTGAATGCAAAATTTACCATAAACGCTTAGCTGAACTCATATCCATTAAGAAATATGAAACATACTCTACCACTATGTCCAGGATTAGAGCCAAAATCTCTTTTGCGCTCTTACGATGCGCCCTCTTATGCTTAAGAGGTACAAAAAAGAGAAGAACATTTGAGACATTCGATACAGATTTTTTAATTGACAATGCTATGGCAAATATAGGCTAGACATTTTTAAAACTTGTTTTTACAGTTTTTTAGAGTAAGAGTGTCATTTCTCTTCTCATATATTTTTTAATGTAATTTACTTTTACAAGGATAATTTCGATGCACGTTTTTTTTTTTAATTCTTTCAATACGAACTTGTAGTTGCTTTCGCGATTTTTATATGTAGGTCGTTTTTGTTATCAAAGTTATTTGGGTCTGATACGAATCTGATCCTAGAGAACCAAATTTAACGAATTTAATAGATATATTCCGTGTCAACTAATTTGGAAATGTACGAGGGGAAAAACAATTACCCACGCGAAGTTGTTGTAATGTTTTTAGTTTTGAAATAAATTTATTATTATTGACTAAAAATTATTATTATTATTGTTATTATTATTATTATTGTTATTATTATTATTACTATTATTATAACTAAGATTTGATTTATTACTATTATTACTAAGATTTAAAACTTTTCTGTGACAAGGAAAGTAAATAATTAACATTATGGCGGAAAGCATGAATAATATTGATCTCGGGAGACGAGTCCATTCACCTGACATTTTATAACATTGGACACTGAAACTCGCACTGACAGATTCAAAAATGGTCCAAGTGGCGTCATGCTACAGAAACAGGAATAGGCTCCTGCAGTAAAAGATCATTCACTTCATGAGACTAGTCTCAGTGCTTATGTTTAGTGAACGTGCGTCTACCAGAAAGAGATGCTTTTAACTTTATATTTAACAAATGGTAAACACCACAGCGTACACTATTGAGTCATGGATGCACGCGGGAGGTTGCTAAGCACGAAAGGAGCGTAAGAGTCGAGCGAGGAGATAGCCGAGAGCGACTCTAGCTTCTTGAGTGCGTAGCAAACCTCCCAAGTGCATCCATAGCTCAATAGCGTACGCTGTGGTGTTCACTATTTGTTTTAAAACATAACATTGATACATTGTAACTAAAGAGCTCCCTTTTATTTAACAAATCTTACGTGACCAGAAAAAACAAGCGCGCGCGGAAAAATAGTCTTTGCATTTGTTCACGTCAGCAGCGTACACCCATGGGCAAATGGGGGACGCTAAATTGACCGATCAGAGCGAACGCTTTACTTTGATTATGTTATAAATCGGTTTCTTGAGGCTGTAACGCACTTCTCAACCAATTGATTAAGCTCTTATCAGCAGAGTCTGGTGGTTAAAGGTCATGTTTTCTTGCCAAACTCAACAGGATGACGGAGGGTGGACTCCTATTATGTGGGCAGCTGAAGACAAACAGTTTGACGCCACTCATCTTTTGATTGAACAAGGTGCTAATATCCACATAAGAGATGAAGTAAGTCAACTTAAAAAAAATATATCAATTTCACGATCAGAAGGAACTATTTTTATTATTAAATTTACAACACAGACACTAAATTACTAAAATCCAGTTTACACGTCTGACAGAAGTTTACCTACATACCTGGCAATACACACATTACTTAGTGCAAACCTTATTACTTGTTTGATTTATCATTCTACGGGTTTATGTCGAATTAATTTGATGGCCTGCTCCCAGTTGGCTTGTTAGCTCAATTGGTAGAGCGCTGCACTAGTATCGCAGAGGTCAGTGGTTCGAATCCCGTACAGGCCTGAAATTTTTTTCGGGTCTGATTTTCACTATTGCTCAAATAGTGCTTTACTGCGAAGGATCGTGCATATATACCTTATTACTTATGTCAGAAGAAACCTTGTCTGTTATTCCTTACATCCAGGGTGTTATGGAGCCCATCAAGAGAGTTTTGTATGGCCACAACGTTAAAGTTACTCAAAAACCTTTTCAAACTTTGGCGCATATTTTTGCTAAGCCTAAGGATCCTGTTACGAAAGGACAACGAACCGACGCTATTTATTCTATTCCGTGCAATGACTGTGATCACGAGTATATCGGGCGGAGCAAACGTACACGTTTAAAAGAGCATCAAAAAGCGGTCGCCCTTTGCAAAAAGAAAATTCGGCTTTGTTGGAGCACGCAAACTAAACTAACCATATAATTGGGCGGGATAATTCTAAAACTATCACTACTAGTCGACGCTACCACCTGCGCCTTTGTTTGGAAGCCTGGCATATCAACTCCGCCCACGCTCCTTTAAATCGTTATGATGGCGGCTTACTACCTGGCGCCTATTTACACCTCGTTAGAAAAAATGGCAGTAAATTACTGAGCATTTAAAAGGTCCTCTTGTTGGAACGATTAGATCAACCCAGATGAAGACACTATAGAGGGGTGTCGAAACGTTGGGTCGATGAATTATAGTTTCCCCGGTAGCATCAAACCATGTCGGAAAACTTGTCGTTACAGTCGTAGGTCGATACTTTGGAAGTACAGGGAGATCTTTAAGACTAAGAATGTTAACGCTTTTTTTTTTGCCCTTTTTTGTTTTGCTCTTTCGTCAAATAGAAATCCCCTAACGCCTCCTGTAACCAAATTTGGTTTATTCAGGTCGTCATTTATACATGTTGGATTAATTTTGGCAATGCACTTCTTTTTTCAACCATTATCTATCATGTGGTAAAAGGTTGAAAAAGTAACAACTTTCTGAATCACTTTGGACGGTTGATTGTTTCATAAGCAATGACGTTGTTTAAAATAACTTCAATTACTTTGTATTTGTTTACGTACTCAACAAATTACCTTTGGTCCCTCAATCTTGCAAAGCTTTCCTTCTAGTGACAGCTTTGAATTCAAAATCCCCATATTTGACCAGGAAATCATATCTCCCCCAGGAGCTTAATACTCCCCTCCACTGGGCGGCCTTGTCAGGAAATCTCGAAGTGTGCAGACTTCTTTTAGAGGCTCATGCCGATGTAAACTGTTTGAATATATTCAAGGAGACATCACTGTAAGTAGCGAACGTATTATTTTACTTTGGGTATAGATTGATACTTTGTGCATCTTTTTTTTTCAGAGCAGGTGATATAAGCAATTAGTTGGAAACATCTGCAAGAACATTTAGATCAAAATGAATGGTCCACCGTGGAACATCGCTAACTCCAACTTAAAGCCATTTTGCTTGAAGAGCTTTTTCTTATCAGTGACCTTCAACTTTCGAGAAGAGCCTCTCATAGTGTTTCTCTTTTCCTTGGCATTTCGAGTTTGCAGGGCAAAACTGCACATAAAATTTTAATTCGCTAAGTATAACTAAAATTCTTGGGTACAAACTACAGTTGAATTGATAATTTTATGCTGTGGTGGTTTCAGACACATCGCTGCAAGAGAAGATCGTTACAACTGTGTGCAGTGAGTATGATATACTAGTGTCATTTTCAAACGGATATCTTTTGTTTATTGAATTGAATGGGCTTGGTGTTGTGAACAAAAAGGTGGCCGTTTAAGCACAGCTAATTATAATAATAATAATAATAATAATAATAACGGTTTATTCACAGTATATCCACATAAAAGGTGTGGCTCTTCATCTGTGAAGGCCTACGATACTAATATTTAATATTAAAACTGAATTAAAATAACTAACTAAATTGTAATAAAAACTATACATGAAAGTAAATATGTAAAATGTATTGGTTGGTGGTGATGGTTGTTTCTATGTCTTTACAAGGAAGACAGAGCACGCGCCTTTAGGAAAGCCTTGCAAAGCCCGCAGTATTCTTTAAAATCTGTGCAGTTCCCTATACTTGCTGGCAATTCATTAAATATCATGGCTGCTGAATGCTGAAAGGTGCCTTGTGCAAATGGAACATAAAGCCTTGGAGCAACACTAGAACGGAGGTGCCTAACGGGTTTAACGACTTGCAAATTTAAATGGGAGGGCCAGTTATCAGAATGCAGTGCTTTAAAAGTAGTCTTTAGTCGCGAGTAGTCCCTTAGCTCCAGGATAGGTAACCAGCCAAGATCCAAAATGGTAGATATACTGTTTACATATTTACAAGTGACTAAACTAGCCATAGCGAACTGGAGCCTTTGTAATCTAGCTGAAAGGAACTTTGGTAGTGGATAAAAAACAATTTCACAGTAGCTTATTTTAGACAGAATTGATGTTTCTACCAAATGTTTCCGTAGTTTAAAATTAGTAAAGTTCCTTATCTTTCTCAAGGTTCTCAAAGTCGCATAACAAGATTTAAGAATAGAACTAATATAAAATTCCCATTCAAGATTCGAGTCAATGTGTACTCCTAGGAGTTTTGTAACATTTATACGTTCCAGTGGTGTACCAGAGATTTCTAATCCCAACTCCAGATTTCCGAGAGAATGTACATGAGCCATTTGTCGAGTTGAGATAAGAATGGCCTTGGTTTTCTTAGAATTCAGGGCCAGGTTTGAATCATTTGACCAGGCGCCAAGGCCTGCCAGGGTTGCATTCATGCTTTCCGCCTGAGATGTGATCTGCGGTGTAGAACAGCTAGAGTATAATGTTGTATCGCCGGCATATTGGAAACTTTTGATTGTAAGTGGAAGAATATCTTGAAGATCCGTATCTTATTAGTAAAGAATTCCAACTAATTGATCTCAAAATTGCGCTAGGTTGTTAGTCAGTCGGGGAGCTAACATTCATATCAAGAACAAAGACGGGCAAACACCTCTCACGGTACATTGGTTTATTTTTGTAAAATGTCATTCTGATGTATGTCCAGGTAGTTGTTGTATCGTAGGTACATGAATGATCTAAAATTATCGCTTCAGTATTTCTTAGAAATAATCGTGAGTCGCTAATGAAATTTTGTGAAATATCTGAAATTTTGCAGGTTGCTAAACTTGATTCAAAAAGTAAAAACTTGCTGCATTCGAAACTCGACTTGGAATCATGTCAGAAATTTATAAGGTCGCGGATCCTCCATAGGTACCATAATATTTTTCTATTTTTTTCCACCTTACTTTTTGTTTCTTTTAACTCGTACTTGTTTCTCATTATTCTTACTAATTATTCGATGATCGAAGTGGTTTGGAAAAAACCTTAGTAGACAATGTCATAACGCGATTACAAAATTTTTGTTTGCATTTTTTTAATGAGATGGGCGCGCTATGTACTTTTGTGTAGTTCTGCTGATCGGTCAAGGAATAATTGCACTTGACAATGTCGAGCGTCTGAGATTTCCACATTGTCCAGTTATACTTTTTGTGGGATTTTTTTGATGATTTGTTTATGATCTAATACCTAACGTATAGAGACTTCGTATTTGTATTACGAAAACTGCCGTTCAAAGGTGGGAGCTTACGGTAAGAAAGGTCTGCAGGAGCTATACCTATAGAGCTGCAATGGATTACTGTGTATGATATCATTATCAAAATTTAGGAGATTTTATTTACAAGAGACTCTAACTTTAATGGGTTGTTTGTGTTAGTGGTGACTGGTGCTAAGGACACCAGTGGGCCAGTAAAGGGGAAGGAAGGAAGGAAACTAGAGCTACCGAGATGCATGTTTATTTGTTTATTCTCGCTCATTTTCGTTCTGATTTTATTTAATACAGTGATATCTCCCGTGGGCAAGAAAGTGTTTCAATTTCTTGTATAAACGAGGTGAGTGAGCCTCTGCATTTGTGAATTGTAACTTAAGACAGGTCCGTAACTTGTTGTGACTCGATTTGCAGGCCTTGTGTCACTTTAGAATAGTTTATTTGGGGATGTCGTTCTTGCTCCGATGGGTTTTGTTTTGTTTTGTTCTTTTTTGTTTTTGTTTTTGTTTTTTTGTTGTTGTTGTTGTTGTTGTTGTTTGTTTGTTTGTTTGGGTTTTTTTTTTTTTTTTTTTTTGAAAGGTTCTTCGCGTTGAACGGTTTTCCTTCACCCCTCAATTCCAATCAAAAGAAAAATCAGTAGAGGAAGACGTTTGATTGAATATTCCTGTAAGAGAAGCCACGTTTCTCCAGCTCCTGGATATTTGTTGTTTAGCTCACTCTTATCATTATCTTGAGTTCCAAACATCGATATAGGAGCCAAGTAATAAGGCAAATGTTGTCTCAGTATCGAGTGGTAGTGACGTGAAGCATTTTCCATCGCTTTCGTCTCGGGTGCTGGACAGGACCAGTGGGTTAATAATCGTAGGTACGTGTAGGAAAACCTTACAAACAAGAACCAAACTGAATCAGTCGAAGGTCCTAAAGAGATGTGGCGCCCTTTAAATTCCTTTCTTGGAGAGAAGGAAACTAGAAGCTCTGTGTTTCAACTTTAGGATAGAAAGCGTTTGTTGGCGGAACCCAAGGCTGTAGCCTTAGTGTTTGATGAATTATTGGCAACTATCGGGATTAAAGATGCTAACATGTTGCGCAGGCTAGCTACAGACGGTTGGAAGAAGTACTAGCCCTTCCTCTTATAAAAATGGACAACTTATGAGAGATACAATAATGTAATGTTGTTTGTAGAACTTTATATGCAATGAAAATTAAGGAGGCAGCTGGGCTTGAAAAGTACCAGCAAGATTGGTAAGAGATGCTAACTCAGAGCTTGACCCTCAACAACTCTTATGATGAATCCATAGAGGATGGAACTGTATCTGCCTTCTGGAAGACAGTGCGTGTAACTGCGCTGTATATGTCTGAAGTAAAACCATTAGTAGAAAATTATTATCCCACTTCTGTGATGCCAGTGTTGAATAAAAAAAGAGTAGTAAATGTTCAAATAACGCATGCAGGTATAGCCTAGGATTCTTGTGTGGACACCAATATGGTTTTAGGTGTGTACATAATACCACTTGAGTCGTAGGAAAATTGGGTGGTCGAAGTCATGGACGGAGGAAAACATTCCGGTTCGCCTTTTGTCGATATATCAAAGGCTCTCGACTTGGGTTAAGTCTCATCTTACGAACAGATGACCAATGCGTTTATAAATTGGAAGCTGTCAGAAGCCGTCAATTTATTAAGTCAGTCATTCAGTCAGTCAGTCAGTCAGTCGGTCATTCAGTCAGTCAGTCAGTCAGTCATTCCTTCCTTCCTTCCTTCCTTTATCCATGTATCTCTACATTTAGTACTGGACTTGACAATGAGCTCTTAGCATCGCAACCTGCAATTTTTTTAGTCTTACTAGCCTTTCGTAACTTGATTTATCCATCTTTTTTTCTATCCATAAACCCTCCATTCATCCTTTATTCATTAATTCATGCATTCGATTCATTCGTCCATTCATTTACTCGTTTACGACCAAAGTTTAGTATGCAGACGATGGCCTTATCGGTAAATGAGCGAATGCTTTTGCCTTCAATCAGGTCGATGACGAACCATTTCCGAAGTTCACATTTGTCAAAGAATCCCTTGAAATTTACAATGGGACGGTAAACTGGAGTATTTCAAAATCTGAGGTATGTTGAGGAAGAGAGAAAGACGTCCGTTGCATTATCTTGTAATTCTACGATGTTCTGAAGAAATATGCATACTATGCAGGGATGTGATTGTGACGGTGATTGTCGCAGTGGCAGAGCATGTACATGTTCTGGGAGGAGCGAACGGCAGAGAATATGGTACAACGAGGTAAATCGATAAGTCCCTCCAGCTGATTATTTTGTGTGTGCTCTTATTAACCGGAGGTTATTAACGTACTAACAGTATAACTGCGTAGGGAAAGGCGCCGAAGAACTGAAATAAAACGTTCAAAGAATTGTAGTTTTGCTTCCACCCTTATCGTTAGGCAGTCTTAAGAACATGCTTGACTTAGCGTTGCAAGTTGGTAATTGAGACAATAGTAAGGGAAAGATACTGCTGCATTAAGGATTTAACGAAGACTGAAACTTTCAAATGTACTTTAGTTGAATGATTCTTTAGGAAAAATAGTTCAAAGATTTTCCTGCCATACATGTTGCTGACAACACCATAGTACAGTGGCTTAGTTTATACTTGACCTATCTTTCTTCGTTCTTAACGTGATTAGCGAATTTACTAACTGGAAGCATAATAAATCTGAAATTTATTTGCTCTCCATTTGTTTTAGGAAGGTTTGTTAAAAGGCGACCTACAGAAGTACGACAGGCCACTCGTGTTTGAGTGTAACAGAATGTGCAACTGCTGGTCTTACTGTAGGAACAGAGTAGTGCAGAAGGGGATGCAGTATCCATTGCAACTATACAGAACCTTCAAAAAAGGTTCCCTTAATAAACCTACTAATACAACCTTAAAAGAAAGTGAGAAACAAAATACGTTAAGGACTTCAAATGAAAACGTCATAAAAATTCTAAAGTGAAGACGGCAACCTAAGAATGAGATGAGGTGTATCCGAGTATCTTATAAAAAATTTTCCCTTATCGATGTTTGCCGAGAGATATGCTCCAGTAATCGAGTTGTGTGAGCTTATTTTATCTCGGTTTAGTTCTTCTGTTAAGTCCTCTGGAGCCGCATTATGCCTCTCCAGGTATTCACTTTGGGCCAAAGTTGAACATCACGCGTGCCATACTCTCTGTTCCTTTCCCACACAACCTACAGGTGTCATTTGCGAGGGTGGTACCAATCTTATGATAGGAGTATACCTTTGTTGGAGCGTCTGCCCATCTAGCTCCATCATACCCGCGATCGTATGGGTCCGCGTACGTTGCCAGGTCGTCATCCACGCGAAACGTTCTTTTCTACTCAAGTCTTCATCATCCCAGCTGGAAGTTAAAAGCTTTCCTCTCTGCTATAACTTATCCTTTATCTTCTCCTTCGACACTTCCTTGCCTTCCTCATCATACAGCTTCGGGCTCGGGTACGACAAATTCAGAGAGACACCCAACTCTTCAGCAAATTTTCCTGCCTCTTTCACGAGTAACCTGTGCCCTTTAACAGCAGCTTGTTCTTCAAAAGCGCGCACTAGGCCCATGGTAGGATCTTCTTTTCCGTATAACTTAACAGCTGCCTTGATTTGAATCTGCTTGTATTCAGTCTCCACTTACTTAACACTGCGCCCCCCACCCCCCCTCCTCCCCACATGTCTAGGGAGATACAGGAGTGCAGTTGACCCAAGTGGGTGCTTTCCGCCATTTCCTGCAGATGATTTTACGAGATTCCCTGTTGGTGTTACGAAGGTCAGTTACACACCATTGCTGAGACCACATAAGATATGACAACAACGGTAAAGCAAGCTGGTTGGTAGCCGTGACTTTGTTCTTATCCGAGAGAGGGCTAGACCAAATAACTGATAACCTCTGTAGGTAAGCACGAGCTGCAATGTCTAGAGCTAGTTTATCCTCCTGTAATAGGCACTCCGGCGTTCCCAAGAAGCGATATTGCGCATCTTCTTTCAAACAATTGATTGCAGCCTGACCATCAGTGAAGCCATTAGAGGTCTCAGACACCACTCCGTGCCGTGCGTCCAAGACATTGCAGTTTTTGGGGTTCCACTGAAGTCCCACGTTTTCCACGACTGTTTTCGCCATCTTCAGCACCCTATTCAGCTTTTCTTCAGACGCCACGAACACCTTAAGATCATCGACATGGATGAGATTGGTGACCTTGGACGCAATAGGCTTTGAAAGCCTATACCCTTCGGCGTAGCATAACTTCCACGCAACAGGGTTAATCCATAGAGCAAACAGGCGCGGACACAACGCATCCCCCTATGGGAGGCCTCTGTTGAACCGTATGGGTGATGACAGTTCGTTTCCCTTCACGGTGTGTGCCGCAATCTTTGTGTTCTGACTATCGCACAGCTTGCCGACAACCTCACAAATCCATTTCGGAAACTTGTGGAGCCACATGATCTTCCTAAACCAATCATGGTCAACGCAGTCATATGCCTTCCGCACATCCATCCTTGTTTCGATGACAGTCCAGCGTAACCATACGATTTATCATCAGATTATCAGTCGTTCCACTACATTTCACTTCCGCTCCTCTCTCGCTCTTTTCCATTAGCTTATACTTGTCCACGTGTTCATCCATAGGACCCAAGACGCATGAAGTGAACCACTTGTATGATGTATTGAGGCACGTAATAGGGCGCTGATTTTCACTTGTAAACTCGCCTGCCTTCGGTAACAGACTGGTCTTTCCCTCTGTAAACCATTTAGGGTATGCCATTGAGATATCTGCAACCGCTTTAAACGCAGATGCCATGCCTTCGTGTAATGAGCATACGCGTTTCCACCAATAGTTTATTTCCCTATCCGAACCTGGTGCCCTCCAATTCTTCTTTTTCAATATGATCTTAACAGCTTGCACCATCGTTAGGCCCCAGGCCTCTTCCAATGGACGGGGAACGCTTTCACTAAATGCAATCTCCACCGTTCCTCAAGCCACTCAGTATTTTCGTCTCCAGACCCATTCTCTTCCCATAACGCTCTCCAAAACCCCTCGGCTTCAGTAATGTCACTAAACACGCCCTTATTTGCTGTATCCTGGTCTTCACATTCCTTCTTGTATTTTGGTCGAGCAGTGTCTGGTTCTTCCGCGACAATCTTTGTGATGGTTGTATATACGCGGCCAGGGTCTTCTGTAAACCTGCGGTTTAGTTCTTTGGCTTCCTCTAGCCTTTTCCTTCTACCAAAACTGGCCTTTAATTTTCGAAGCACCGACTTCTGCCTCTCGATACAGCTCACAAGGGATGACAAACCACATTCTTTTTGCAAAAGAGCTCGGTTTTTCTTTCCCTTTTTGGTCAACTTCCAGTATTTCTTTAACCTCTCCAACTCAGCTGTTGCTTTAGAAATCTTTTTTCTCCCATCTCTAACACTCTCTAAACTAGCTCTTTTCCAATTCTCACTATCCCGAATTTCCTTTGTCGCTTTGTCCTTTGGGTTCTTTTTCCATCCTTTAAACACGAGAAATGCCGCTGCTACAGAGTACAGAATACAGTCAGCTAGCCATATATACACGAATGGATTGTCTGTAGGTGTCGCTTTTTCCCGCTCCATTAGCACAGTGATCACATTATTCTTCCTCCGACTTTCCAACCGTGGTGGGTTGTTCGAGTTCATTAATTCCAACGCCATCTTTTTACACTCCAACAGGTCGCTGTTCATCTGTTCACTCCACCGCAACCTTCCGTTTGCCTTGTGTTGTAGTCGTCCTTCCGCCATAATAAGACAACTCACAAATCCAACAAAATTGAATGTAGCTAAAAATTCCCGTTCAAAGAGACACCTCACAGTCTCGCAAAACAGCTCGACACACAAAGTACCCTAATCACTTCTCACAATATGCAAAGTCCCCTAATCACTTCTCAGAATATGCTTTGGCGCTCAGAACTTGGCTTGCTTTCGATAGGAGCGGACTTTAACGGATAACCTTAAAGCACGTCCGCACTACTTACCACCATTATTTTATTATTATATTATCTTATTATTACTATTATTAATATTATTATATTATTATTATTATCATTATTTATTATTATTATTATTATTATTATTATTATTATTATTATTATTATTATTATATCCACCGCGGGTGGAGGGAGTATAAAGTCACTCTATCAATGGTACAAGAGTTTATATGTGGAAGGGAGAAAATTTGGCTATATCGTTAATTGTGCTAAAAGCTAGTTCATTGTTAAGACCAGTGATCTGGTAGAGAATGCAAAGAAGGTGTTTGGCAATGAAGTGAACATAACGCTCGAAGGACGACGTCATCTCGGTGCGGTTATCGGATCGAAAGAGTTAAAGGATCAATGTTGTCAAGAGAAAGTTGATAAGTGGCTCAGAGAAATGGAGTCCCTCACAGAGATCAGCAAGAGTCAGCCCCACGCTGCCTATGTCGCTTTCACTAAAGGATTTAAATCCAAATTCACGTATTACTTGCGCACCATAGAATCGTTTGAAGAGTATGTGGACCCCATCGAAGAAGTGATTCACACTTCCTTTCTTCCTTCGTTATTCGGGCGAGCGGAGCCTCTTCCCGAAGAAGTTGAGGAACTTGTCAATCTATCACCTGCGCAGGGCGGGATTGGGATTCCTGATCTTAAGCGTGAAAGTCCGAAGCAGTTCAAAGCTTCGTGTGATATAACAGCACTACACGTCAATTCTATTGTTACTCAAAGCTCCACCATTCCAGCACGAGAGTTGATAGAGGAAAGGAAGCGTGAAATCAACGCTCAAAGGAGAGCCGCTGCAAAGTCCCGGATTGACAGGATTGACGAATCGTTATCTCCTGATCTACTCCAATCAGAGCCGCAGACAAGGGACAAGGGAGCCAGCTCTTGGCTAAACGCCACTCCAATCGAAGAACATGGACTGGTTTTAAACAAGCGGGAGTTTAGGGACTCCCTTTGCCTCTGCTACAACCTCCCTCTGCCTAATCTCCGTAGCTAGTGTGCATGTGGAGAAATCTTTACTGTCAACCATGCTTTGTCATGCAAGAAGGGAGGTTTTGTTGCGCAGAGACACGATACAATCCGAGATCTACTGACTTTACACATCAATAAAGTGTGTAGAAATGTGGAGACAGAGCCACTCCTGCAACCGTTCGACAATGAAGTTTTTAAACACCGTTGGTGTTATGGTACAAACGGAGGCATGGGACTTGACTGTCAGAACTTTTTAAGAAGCCTCGCAAATAAGCTTTCGAATAAGAATAATGAACCCTATGCCAGCGTCATTTCTTGGCTACGAATACAACTTCATTTGCCATATTAAGAACTGTACACAGATGCGTAAGAGGTTCTAGAGTCCCGTTTAAATCACGCGAGGTCGCAGAAGACTTCACCCTCGCTGTAGCAGGACTACATCTGCGCTCATAATTTTTAGGTCTTTATTATTTTAATAGTTTTTCCTATTTAGTTATGCTAAATTTTTTCTTTTCTTATATATTGTAATCAGTCCTCTATCGTGGACATTAATATTAATTATTTTAAAAATTTGTAAATAATTAGATATATGGTTTAAAATTGTAAATAATTGCTATCATTCGTATATGTGCACGATCCTTCGCAGTAAAGCACTATTTGAGCAATAGTGAAAATCAGACCTGAAAAAAATTTCAGGCCTGTACGGGATTCGAACCACTGACCTCTGCGATACTAGTGCAGCGCTGCACTAGTATCGCAGAGGTCAGTGGTTCGAATCCCGTACAGGCCTGAAATTTTTTTCAGGTCTGATTTTCACTATTGCTCAAGTAGTGCTTTACTGCGAAGGATCGTGCACGTATACGTCTCATAACCGCAGTTTATACATATGTTTCATATGTTTGTTGTTAATTGCTATCATTATTATTATTAAACGAAGCGGGCCAATTTTTATCATAATTTTCGTAAATACTTTTAGTGATTATAGCGAATAAAAGTTTTATTATTATTTTTCTTTTTTTTTTTTTTAATGGTAACAATCTTTATTGAGCAATAATTTCCATAAAATCCTCTACAATACAAAATATTAGCAGCGTAAAAAACGATCCAAAATAACTCACTTTCGGCTCACATCTACTCTTTTTTTTTTGTCAAAGCGTCTGGAAAACTATAAATAACGGAGTCAAATCTGAACAGATTCAAAGTCTAATAATCTGATAAGTAAAAACTTATCTAAAACTATACAGAAAAGAGAGAAGTGAATGGCAAATCTAGAATTCTATATACAAGGCTGCTAAAAATCATTAAACAATGTCAATGGCTCCCTCGGCAGCTGCGATTTCAACGTCACAATTATTATAGTTATACGCAGCGCGGCGCTTCACCCGCGATCCTCGAAGGCAAACTAAGGCCGACGGCCTTTGACTTGGACTGTAATAATAATTATTATTATTATTATTATTATTATTATTATTATTATTATTATTATTGTTATTATTATTATCATTATTATTATTATTACTATGGCAGTAAAAACTTCCGGATGCCCAGATATCCTAAACAACGATTGGGCGACGAGCCGTAGCCAATCAATGCAACGACCAAAGTCCTTACAGTTAAAATTCCTATAGCAATTCCTAATCATGAAACCCTAGTAGTGAAAGTCTTAAACTTAATCGCTATGTAGTAAAAACCTCAATCAAAATACCTGAGGTTCCATACGTCACTATGACGTATTTGTTAGGATTTTATTGATAGGATTACTGATATTATCACTATCAATTATTGGGACTGATAACGAACCAGTAAGATTTTAGGATTTAGAACTGTATAATATTCTCTTTTCTTTTTTTTTTTTTTTCTCTCCCTTTCTTAAACTTCAACAAGTAAGGGAAACGAGAACCAGTTAGTTTTCTTAGATTTTTAGATAGTCGACATTTTCATGTATTTTTCGATTTTTAAGGATATCTTAATTTGTTTGTAAATATTTTTGATGATAAGAGTGAATAAAGTTTTGATTATTATTATTATTTTATTAGTATTGTTGTTATCATTATCCGTTGAGTACAAAACTTATTTTAGCTTCTATCGTATGTGTATTGTAGGTTGGGGTGTTAGAAGCCTCACGGAAATTCCACAGGGGAGTTTTGTTTGTGAATACACTGGTGATTTAATATCTGACACCGAGGCAGATGCGCGAGATGATGATGACTATCTTTTTGACTTGGACTGTAAGGTATGGACCTACGTTTTTTATCTGTGGGCTAATGGCACCAAATCATTGATTGTTGTGTAAAGACAGACGAGGGATGTGATTTACAGTTTTGATGTTTCTTTTGCAGGAGAATGCTCACGAATTGTACTGCATTGATGCTAAGCATTATGGTAATATCAGCAGATTTATTAATCACTCGTGCGAGCCAAACGTTTTTCCGATACGAGTTTTCATTCATCATAGGGTAAGTGCTCCTAACCGATTGATATTCCACGGCTCAAATAATGACTTTAGTTGACAAGGACAAAAATTCCTTATCACAAGTCATGTGTGTAGGAATTTGTATGCTACGCTTCTTCCTGCTTGTGTCTTCACAATTGCACCCAAGGGAACAAAAAGAACAGTAACACGTTTTAACCGGGCTTAAAGCCGGAGAAAATTCTTGGTTGATATGGAGGACACTGCATGAACCAAATTTTATCATCGAGTGTGGATGGCCTCAAGTTTGAGGTTGTTTGTAGATTTAAAGGACAAGTAAACGTACATTTTTAGGTCAGTCTTGACTGTTAATGATTCTCTAGTCGACGTTAAGAACAAAGTAGTTAACACTTTCAAAAAAAAACTTAAAATCGGTCAATGTACCATAATTTTTTCATTTGAAGGTCATAACTCTGAACATTAAATCTGCGTTGTTTTTAGGACCTTAGATTTCCAAGGATTGCTTTTTTCGCTCTTAAAGAAATTAATGTACACGACGAGATATGGTAAGTGAATCGTGACATGATCTAACAGCTAACACTTCTCTATAAACACAGAGCTGTCAATAAGAGCTTGTAACCGGCTACTTTCACTTGATTTTCGCCATAATTGGTGATGAAAAATCATGCAGTTATTAAAGCACCATCGAACAAATTTGAACAGCAGTCTTTACTCAGGTTCTAAGTGGAAATGAATACATGAGTGACCGTTAATGGGCTTAAATGCGTGAATCAAATCCGCATCCGCAATTTGCTCGAGGACTTGTACGAACTTCTTGGAACGGCTGGGTATAACCTGGATGCTTACTATATCGTCTTTTCCCGTTTAGTTTCAAACTTTTTGGCAGCCCTGTAAACATGGATTTTCTTTTTTTGGAGTCAGGGAGGCAGGCCGTTCGCTGTGAAGCTAATGGTAATCCTAAGCTTTTGTTATTTTTCAGTTTCAACTACGGAGATAGATTCTGGTCTGTAAAACGTAAAGAGTTCTTCTGTGAATGTGCAACTCCAAGCTGCAAGTATCGGGATCATAACGGATAGCCTTTCGTAATGATGCCTGTTCCCTGAACACAATTCTTCTTTTTAATCTTTCTTGTGTTGTCTTTGTCATTATGATACAGCATTTGTACAATTTCCTTTTAAAAAGTAACGTTTTAGACTCTGCATTATTTTTATATGTCAATACTGTGCTACCAGATTGGAAAAGTTTGTTTTAAATGCCATATTACCAACAGCTCTGATATTTTTTAGAAAACTTTGGAGTCAAGTGTTTGGTTGTGAGAAAACCTTGTAAGGGGAACCGTTAATAGGTTTTTCGCCTCTAAGATCTGAATATCGATTCTCAGCAAAGTCAGCCGTACATTTCTTATTATTTTGGCTCTTTTAATTTGTTGTTCAATCGAATAGTACTCTACGTTCACACATTTTTCTTTTCGTCACCCTTCCGCTTGAAATGTGTCGCTATCGTGCGGAGAAATTCCGTTTTGGCTATTTGTTCAACAGCTCTCTTGTACATAACAAAGACTTCTTCATTCTTTAGGGATTTTTGTGACTTAGAGGAGGATTGAAAGCATTATTGCAAAACGATACATCAATATAAATTAAAAAACTTCTTAGTTCGAAATGTTTTTAGTCGCTATTTTTTAGCAAGCGATCTTTGTTTTGTTTTTTTTTTTTTTTCTTAATTACTTCTCTTATCAGACCAGGTATATTAACCAGTAGTATTAGAGGCCCGAGAGAAGTAATTCGTTGTCAAAAACTTGTTTCATAAAGAATGTAAAAAGTTGCTAGCCATACTGTGATGTAGCGTTATATTCTAAAACTTACTCGTAGTTAGGCGTGTGAAAGGTTTGAGATTGAGATTGAATGCATAGGGTTGCTCTGTCTATTTAAAAGAACGACTGTACCTCCTACTATTAAACATTCCAAGAGAGTTGATAACTGTTATTCATTTGCGAACGATTTATTTTATTGGCTTATCTATTTGCCTATGATTCTCTGACGCTTGTTGTGCATCCATTACTTTGTGGCTCCGTTGTGTTCAAGTAGTATTGGCATGAGACATCTTGATAACTTCATCCTAACTTATTTTAAAAAGGTTACCGAAGCAGTATGATATTCGAGAAACTACATGCACAGCTAAACTTTAAATTATCACGGTAGAATGTTGTGACAGTTCTATGGTTTGGTTTTTAACTTTCTCTTGTGTAATACGTCCATCTGTCTGTAAATCTATCTTAGGAATATTCAAGTGTAAAGTGTTTTGTCTTTTACTTAGGCGTAATCAGAAATAAATGTGTTTTATCCAATTGTGTAGTGTTTTGGTTTGAAAATGGTAGCGCATACCATCGTTATTCATTTAGTTTTTTTTTTTTTCTTTCTCTGTACTAAAGTATCTCCCTTGCAAATTTCGCAAGCAATTAGTATGAGACAACGTTTTAATGTTTATTGTTAGTTACTTGAGTACGAGTAAAATCATGAATAAAACCGACTATGAACCTAAATTAGAAAACAGAACTGATACTTACTGGCTCTAATGTCCTAAGGTAGCTTGTTAGATAACTTATGGATAGGGAACATGAACTAAAAGTCAAAGAATGGTTTAAGAAAAATCGAAAGCGGCAATCAGCTGGAATACATCAGCAGTAAAGTGTGATATCACGTCGAAGTTGCGATAAACATTTTTATCGAAGTATTTAGCGTAGCCTTAAAATTTATACAGTGACTCATAAGCTGAAAGTGTAAATCATGCAATAACAGGAAAATTAACCAAACTTGGGAAGGGAACGCGATAAGTAGGCATATTTTATTTGAAAGAGGTTTAGGTATAGTACGTGACCGTTCAGAGGAGTGAGTCTTAATAAACGGGATGTGAACTATGCGTAAACAGATAGAGGACGGCTAGTTAGAGCATTAAACTAAACGTCTTACGAATGGTTTCAAGCGGATGGCTTAAAAAAGGTAAAAGGTGGTTAAAAGCGGATTCGTTGAAGTGTTTTAAAACAACCAAGGAAACATTAAACGAGTGATTGGATATGTAAAATCGATAGCTGAAAATGCATCGTTCAATAAACAGCACGTTTCGTTGACAAAATCTTAATTTATAGCCCTGTGCAAGATATTCAGATAATAACATTATTGTTATAACCATCACTATCATTATTGCCATCATAATTATCATAATCATTTTTTCCAGAGTTCTCTCGAATAATTGTGATGTAGCCAAAGAGCTGCTATAAGGTAAAGGACACCAAAATGGGAATCAGAATATCTTCTTCGCAGGACTGACGGACATTTTACGGCAAAGGTGAACTTAAATCTTGTCATTTGTCCCCTTTACTGCCTTTTGATAATTCATGTTCGAGTTCTACGCCATATTTGTTTCTTTCCGATCATAAAGGAAATTGCAGCTTTGCCCTCGTTGCCCTTGGTAACATTACGAGACAGTAATTATTTCGTTTAAGATAAGATGCAACTAGATGACATTTACAACTTCAGAGGACTGATATGACCCCTTAAGAAACACGTTTCAAAACTGCTTTTTTGGGGTTGAGTTACATTTCAGACCAAAATCTCTTTTTCTCCTGTCTAGAACAAATGAGTAAAATCTGCAATTTTTATTCGGTTTGCTAGAGATAAGTCAGAATATATCTTCGACGACCGAAATACAAGTATTTTCATAGCATAAGGTAGAGGGCAAAAAAGGCGTTGATGACAGACAGGCAACCATCATGTTTTCACCTGATATCAAGCCTAATGGTTTTTTAGTGGCACTAATTTCTTTACATTTTAGAAATTAAAATTCGACTATCCGGTTTCTTGTGAATCAGACTATAGTGTTTCTCGCTGAGTTGCAATATCACTGCGCTTTCATTTAACAACCATGAGTAGAATGTATTTCCGAAAGTGGAATCTTTTCCCAAATTTTGATGTTTGTCAGACACTATACACTTGATTAAAACTGACATTATACCGAAGTACCAATAACAAACGAATGTTATTGAAAATCCATCGATCATTCCCCTTTTTGTAAATCATTTGTAAAAGCTGATACAAAGAAGCCGATAAATTTGCATTTGTGCCTTTTTCCAATGATTCGTAGGTTATTTATCTTAGAGTTTTGTAAGGTCTTCGACGTGTTTGTGAATTTAATTTGATTTTTTTTCTTCCTTTTTCCAAATGTTCAATTATATGCAAGAACAGGTATTTCGATTAATAAAAGTGCTTCTAAGTCATCCGAACTTTTCAAATAATCGAAGACATCTTTGGTGTGGAGAGCAAATAGATTTAAATTCAGGTCCTCATATTACGCGTCAATATCGTGAATTCGAATAAAAGTGTCAAATCGAAAACAGCATAGCAATTATCTTGGCAGCATCAAGAATATTCAGCTGCGCTGACAAACAAATATCTGGGTAAACGAAAAGATTGGATCAGACTGGCAAGTCATAACGCACAACTCATTTTACGTGTTTTATCGCCTAAGTCTACCGTAAACTCAAAAGTTGCAGATCGTTACGGAACTGCAACAACATGAAATTATCGACGGAAGATTTCGTCCTGCTACCAGGATATGTTGTTATTGTCATCATTGGAATGGCAGGAAACTTCCTAATCTTAGCTGTTGTGAAAAGGGAACGCTACATGCATACTACAACAAACTTTCTCCTCGCCAATCTCGCTCTAGCCGATTTATTAACGTTACTGTGGTGTATTCCAGGAATCGTACTGAATGGCTTCATTACACACCCTAATGGTGTGCTGGGAGACATCCTGTGCAAGTTTATCACCATGCACCATATGGCCGGAATATCGCTTCTGGTCGCCGGGCTGACATTAACTCTAGTGTCTGTTGAGCGGTACAATGCGCTTGTAAACCCTCTGAACGCCAGCTTGCGTCTCACTAAAGAAAATGTCAAATATCCGATCGTTGCCATGTGGGTGTTTGCATTCATCTTTGTGTTGCCCCTATTTGTCTTCGAGGATTGGAACGAGAGGCAAAATAGCTGTATTATGCTCTGGAAGAAGCCATCAGCGACCATTTATTGGTCAATTTTAACAATGATTGTGTTTCTTACGTTTGTATCAGTCTGCTTCTGCTATTTCAATATCATTAGGGGACTGTATTTTACCAGGCAAATCTGCGCAGAAAGTTTAAAGTGTCGTTCAGAAGAGGAGATGCAAGCCAAGCGTAAGATCGTCAAGCTTTCTATCACCATTACAGTTGTTTTCCTCGTCTGTTTCTTCCCTTTTGTTGTCGCCACAATCTGGGATAAAGTTTCAGCGAAGGACATATTTTATAAGGTCGCGTACTTTCTGGTTTACTGCAGTTGTTGTATAAATCCAATTTGCTATGCAGTTCAAAGCACAAATTACAGAAATGCATTTAGAGAAACTATCCGAAAAAGATCGACCACAAATCAAACGGAACAAGCTGTGTAATAGTCATGTCGCTGCCAGCCTAAATGACCTCACCCATTAGCGGTCACGTTCTTCTCAAGGGTTCTCTCATTATAACTATCAATAATGGACAATAAGATAATGCCGCATGTCAAATGCTTGGTCGGCAATCAATGCTAAAAGTTATTCTTTCCAAACAATTAAGTCTCAGCACTGTACGCAAATTACTATGACACGAAATGAACAGAACTCAACTTTAGGCACGCCAAACAACAGGTGCGGGGAGTGAAAGCTATTTTTGGGTGGGAGGAAGGGGGGCCGTTGGATTATAGTTTACCGAAAAGCATCTCTCGTTATTGGATTTGCACAAAAGAGGGAGGCGGGGGCAGGGGCTGGGGGCAGCCAGACGTCAGTCCTTCGGATACACGGGGCTTCCCTGATTTCCCTATATCACTAGCTATTGGCGATATTTAGATTTACTTCACTGTAGAACCCTAAAGAAAAGATAACTTGTTTCAAAGAATTTGATGATCGTCGACTCTAAAAAGCTGGTTGAACATAAGTGAAATATTTTAAGATTACAATAGGTTTAATTTGTGTGTAGAGTCATTTCATGAAAACATTTAAACCTTTTTTTAAGGCGAAAATTGGTCTGAGGGAAGGGATTTCTATTTCTACCCAATGGCAGAGATCAATTTAGTGAAATAGAAATATTCAAACCGACAGCTTGATTTCTTCCCTTCGACCATTCATTTTCTCTTCTGAATTTATGTCTGAAAATTATATATTCATATCGCTCATGCACAAAACAGTGATACGTTTACACTGGAGGACTCAAAATAGCAGTTAGTTATTGTAATATCCATTCTTTTATGGTAGAAGTTTTGTGAATGTAAGCAAATATATAGATAAATTAAATCAATTGTAAATAGATGTGAATAGATTATAAACAAATACTGAATAGACAATGAATAAGCAGAAATCACTTTGAAAATACAAGTTTCTCTTTATTAATATTTCAAAAAACCGAACTGAAAAGGTGAACCAAGTATTCGATGGTGACATTGTAAGCCTCTTCAGAAAGACACTATGCCAAGGATGGAAATTTGGATGGGTCTGTCAACAATTTTCTCCAACATTCGTATTTGTTATAAAAAGTTTATTTTAAAAATGTTTCTTGCTTTGATATATCACTAAACCTTTGCTCTTCCCACCGTACCCGAATCAAGGAGGATCGGCGTCAATCAAGAACTGAAGACCGGCATCTAGTAAACTCACTGCAGCAGCTGAACCATTGTAGTTTGGCAAATCAAATATCACCCTATGTAGTATTAAAAGTACATATTGTATATTCGCGGAAATCCTGCGACTTGCTTTATTGTCATTTTACATTTTTTGACGGTATCCATCGCTGTACAGGTGGACACTCGGTTGACATATAGGGAACAATTCTAGGCTTCTTTGATGAAAGTAGATATACGAAAATAGTATTCAGCAGTTAAGGTAGGTTAAGAAAAAAAATTGTAGTAAATAAAATTGTAGTAAATTAACGATTTCTGAGGGCTTATAGTTCTCGTTATAACAAATCAAAGTTGGAAGAAGAGAAAACTTTCTCGCTTTTTTAATGTCCCTTCTTACCATCGAGAGTTTTAAGCCTAAATTCGATAACACATAGTATCCTTGTACCTTATAAAAAACCGTAATTCGTTGTGATACAACTGATGTTTTGATCATGAGTCGAAGAAATCTGTTGAAAAATATAAGACGATAGCTTCAAAAAGAGAAAGTCACAGATATACTTTTTAAAATGCATCGTAATAGAATATAATCTTTCTCGTTGTTGTTTAGATTTCCACCTGAGATATAATCCTGAGCAATGAAACCCAAATACAAATGTTTACATGAGTCATCACATTTAGTCCAGCTTTTTATTAATTTTTCTAAGTACAATAACAACAAAGTCACTCAAAGTAGACAGTCTCTGAGATAAGTTTAAAAATTTTTTCCATAGTCAACTTTCATCAGTTTTAATTTCAGATAAGATCTCACACTTTGCCGGCCTGGAACTCCATTATTTTCGAAACGAGGTTTATATTTCACTTTTGTAAAGTATAGGACGTAATTTTATGAACTCGAAATGAAACAGTCATTATTTTGTTGACATTTTTGTGGTACTTGCTGTTTGCAATTGAAAAAAAAAAACCTTGAAGGGAAGAATCTACGGATTAGTGTAATCTATGGTTGAAAACGCTGGGTGTTAAAGAGAAATTTCCAAAAAATACCTCCTCGTAAATTAAGATTTTAACAGACTTGAAACTCATTAATGAAAATCAGTTCTGGGGAGTTGAACCGACTCATAAAGGATGCCAGAGGCTTTGAATATGCGGAAAAAAAACTAGCAGCACTGCTTTAGCACAGCGTATGAGACAGGGGGGTTTCCCAATTAATTATCGTAAAGATAACAGCTTGGTTATCACGACTACTAATCTAAAAAAAGAGGGGAATATCCTATAAAATCAAGCAACAGCATTATCAATCAACTTACATGTAAAGCATAGGAAAACACGAACCATCTGCGGTTTGCTTAGGTTTACATCTGACTGGTTGAAAAGGCTACGCGAGGCTTAATAGCCAATCACAGAGGGACTTGAACCAAAACAAAGCAATCCCGGGTTACACTGAAACTGAATCGAACTCAGCTACTTCAACGAAAACCTAAGATATTTTAGTCTTCAGTATGAGAGACTTGATAGCAGAAAAAAACACTCTACAGCGAATGCCACCGTTATGTTATTCTATTTTTTAATCAGATTAGGCCTGAAAACTAACCAAAGAGCCAACAATAGAACCATTTTATTCAAGTACTTACAATTTTTAACTTTTTTCGTGACAAATTCAACCTTTTTTATCTTTTTTTTTATAGCTGGAAGGAGATCTAGATCCTTTCAACATCCTGTTAAAAATATGGTTCTTTCGGAAGTAAGATTACTTAGCGTCAATGATAAATCTGGAAGGAAATTAGGTTTTCCAAAATAAAAGGAAATATTACATTTCCATATTGCAGTTCGATTCGTTCTGATTTATACTTAAAAAGGTTTGCTGATATCTTAACTGATAGAATTTCTCTCCAACTCAATAGTTCCCCAAAAGAAGAATGTTTTTTGATCACATGATTAAAACTTATTAAAACAACGTTATCTACTATCCAGAATTTTTTTGCCTTTGTTTCTCGCTTATTTCTACTGTTTCTTCTGAATTTTTAAGGTATAGTGTCCATACAAATGTCAAGACGCTGTTCGGCGTTAAAATAATTTTGTTGGGATCGCAACATTCTAAACAAAGATTAAAAAAAATTCTGAATATTACACTTAAAGTTTTTGAATATCGTCTCTTAAATATTTTAGCGTGCTGAGGTACACATTACAAACCGCCCTAGACAGACGGATCTTAGCTTTTTTTAACGGTCTGGCTGGGACTTTTTATTAGAGTATCATAACCCTTTCTTCCGTTTCATTTCCAATAGGTAGTGGACTAAATTGATAAAACAAAACCGACTTAAAACTTAATAACGGAGCTTTTATATTTTTCTGCAATGTAAACAATAAAAGTGTGCATAAGTGTAGTTTTCATCAATTCAACAATAGATATCAACTCCGCATCAGCGAAGGAGAACTAAAGCGGACACCTATCACTTCTTTTTGGCAAAAACTGATATGCTAATGACTAAAAGCCCAGCTTGTCAACAGTTACTGCCCGCTGTCTGATAAGGAGCGATTTAATCATTTCACGTTCATCGCACAATCTTGATAAAAGGAGAAAAAACGGTTTGGAAGGTGAGTTTAATATCTGTTACTTCGCCATTCTTGTAAACTATATTATTTTAAATAAAACCAGCCTCAAATTGTAAGAATATAATTAGCAATTTGATATTTCTGATGATTTCAAAAAGAGGGCTTGCTTCTAAGGTGAAGTTATTGATTTCGAAACAGCTGCCTATAGATTTCAATTCAGTGAAGAAAACTGAAAAACACGTCGAGGACCTAAAAGCTAAAATGAAATTCCGGGGATTTGGCAGATCTTTGTAAAAATATCAGGGTGAATGATCGAGAAAATTTGAAATCCAAAGAAGTAATGAAGAGATCCTGTGTATTCTCATTGCTGAGCGATTCAAAACTGACCTGGGTGAGAATTTATAACAAAACCAACGAGGTGCTGTAAGAACATTTCACCGTTATGCATGTGAATATTTCAACGGTCAGATCTTTTTGAGGTTACTGTTACCTCCAGTGAATAATTTCATTTGGTAAAATAGCTGTTATGTTAACACCCTTTGATCATACATATTCAAGCTTGGAATATCAATGACATCAATAAAATTGTTCATTCAATTCCAACCGTTCAGAAACTGAAAATTCTGAGCATTCTCCGCTTTTTTAACACGCAATTTTATTCGTCTGGTTTCAGATCTGTAAAACTAAAACTATTTTGCGAAAGATAGAAACATCACGGAGCACTGTGGAGGTAAAATATGGTAAGGTATACGTATGAACGCTATTTGAAACTTTCATTGTAATAAAGTGAAAAGCTAATTAGCAACAAATAAGGTGTCAAACATAAATTGAAAAATGATATCCAAATAACATAACTTCATTAAAGGCGGAAACGATGTGAGTTTGAGAATGACAGTCTTTCAATTTAAGTGTGGTAATACACTCCTGGCTGTTATCAAAATTATCGCGCAGTGTTTCATGCAAGAGAAGTGGAAAGTACTAAAGTATAAAGCCTTGAAATTTTTTTTTACCTTACTCCGAATAAATGTTTTGAAAAAGTTTTTATCACAGGCATTGACGAGAATCTGTTAACAACAAATTCCTCATTTTGTTTGAAACTGATGTGCTTACCGTGCTGAAGTTTAATAACGTAAACATTAAAAGATTCTTTCATCCATGGCCTGGTCAAGAAAATGACACTGAAGCTTACATAAACATAGCAACATTGAAAACAAAGAGCAGCCAACATCTCACTTTGAAGGTATCAGATATAAGGTTCAAGTACTTTACTGTGTTAGGGGTGGCATACTGAACATCTCACTTTGAAGGTATCAGATATAGTGTTCAAGTACTTTACTGTGTTAGGGGTGGCATACTGAACATCTCACTTTGAAGGTATCTGATGTAGGGTTCAAGTACTTTACTCTGTTAGCTGTGGCATACTCAGGACTCTCAGACTTGACAGGCAGTTTTTCTGAGAAAAAGAGTAACATTCCGAGAGTTTGCACGTTCTACATCAAAGTTAGTCAAAACAATAAACCCCTTTTCTTTAAGGCTCGGGATAAGCTAAAAAACGAAAGTACTTT